GTGAGTCTGTGAACAAATGGCATTTCAAGGTGGGTGCTTACCTTTTAGAGCAACAAAATAATAACGGGCTGACCCGAATCAGGCAGGCTTAAGCAGAGGTGCAGATTAAAGTTTCAGTACAGCAAACTAAGGGCTATAGTTGAAGACCCCTGTTTTAGAAGCAACAACAGTATGTTGGATCTTTTATCCTTAGAAAGTTGTTTTAATATGGTCTGCAGCCTCTTAAGAGGTTTTTCTTTCAGGACTGACTGATCTAACAGTCGTCGATGTATCTAGCAAACAAAATTATTCTCACAGCATGAATGAAGCCACTTCGTTTATCTTCCATTAAACTGTCTTTCCTCATACGTTTAAGTAGTTGGCCATGCCTTGAAGATGTGCAACCTGGTTCCAAATTTTAGACATTCTTTTAAAATATTGACACTCATCTTCCTGCTGTGTTCCTTGGTTTTCATGAAACAGTTTGATCTCTAGTGCTATTTTAAGCAAAGCTTTATTTAAATCCAGCACTTCTGTGAAGGCCTCAGACACACAGATGGTCTCAAATTAGTGATTAATGAAGGACATTTGTTGAACTTGGTTTTATTTAAGATTTGAGACTCAACAAATCTTTGCAACTGCATTATGGTCAATATCAATATGTATTTCACCCAGAAAAGCGCAGAACCTCCACCAAGCAGCAAATTTTATTGGGACTTACACCTATAACTAAATCTGAATCATTATGAATTCTTAATGAATTGTTTCATGAGGTGCACCTTTGGTAAAAAAGAAACTTCCTTAAAATCTTTTCATAAGTTCATAAGTAAAGAACAGTTTGTTTCAGCCTCTGGTGTCTGTGCTGCTCTCACCATCTTCATTTACTCTGATTTCCTCTTTGATGAGCAGACTGAGACTTGAAGCGAGGCAGCGCTCCCCTTTCTTGTGTTTTTGTATTTTTGGTCTCCGGTATAATACTTCTGGGCTTTTTTATTCGGATGCTAAAGCTGTAAATAATCACTGTTATACCCAAATAATGTTAAAGAACCCTTTAAAAAAACTCTTGTATCCAGATTATAACCTGGACCATCACCAACATTTATTGGATTGTTCCTTAAATATGAGGTGAACTTCTGGTGAAAAAGAAAATGCATTAAAATCTGTTCCTAACTTTTCAAGTAATCCTGTTAGCAGGCAGAAAACATAACCTGAAGGTAAAGCTCTGATTTGCCGGACTAAATCCACAATCCCCTTTAAGACTTTATACTGTATGTTTTTTTTTCTGCAAAGATAGAGGAAATATTAGCTTTTTTCAGTTAATCATCAGCAGAATAAGAACTTTACTCTTGCTATGGTTCAATGTTTTTATGGAAATGTAGCATTAGAATCCATTTTATTTACAAAAGCATCTCGGCTGCATTAGGCGATTGTTTTAGCATCCTGTTTTCATTTGCAAAAGAGAAGGAATGACAAGGTAAACATTGCATTAAGCGATCATTTCCCTTGCTGCCCCCTCACTCCACCCTGCGGTTCATGGGATCAGCTGACCACCTCCTTTATTAGCCAGTCATCACATGCTTACAGTGAGTCTTTGGGATTATCAGGGATAAAGAACTATGGGGCAGGGCTTAACTGATTCAGCATCCTGCTCTGGCTTCTGGCTTTTTAATGAACACACTGTTTACAACAAGCAGCCATCTTTAATAATGACTGAGAACTCCTCGCTCAGCAGCATTTAAGTGCAAAGGGAGACTCTTCTGTATGTCACTTAAAGATCCTCTTCATGGAAAGTATATGGTCAGCTCTCCTGGCACCCAGTTTGTCGGGTAGACATGAAACTTTTTACTAAAACTGCACAAAATATGGCAATACTGTTGCAAAAGAAAAACTTTCCAGACCGCTCTCTTTCTGTATGATCAAGGTAAAGTGTTTGAAAGACAAACACTAAATAAGATAAACTGCTAAACTGTTTTTTTCTTCATATAGTAAACATAAAACACTGATGTTGCAGTGATGACAATGATTCGGTGTGTTGTGCAGATGCTCATTGGAATGCCGTGTGTTTTTCCTGTGTCGTAGATACGCCAGCCTGTATTTCTGCTGTGCCATAGAGGACCAGGACAACGAGCTCATCACGCTGGAAATCATCCACAGATACGTGGAGCTGCTGGATAAATACTTTGGCAGCGTGCGTTTGGACTCAGCCTCCGTTTCTGTTTTTATCTTTGATAAATCGACCTACTTTCAGGGTACCATCTATTGAGTTCATTTTCAAACTACTACAATATATACTGTGAATATACGTATGTTCTCTTCCAGGTTTGTGAACTCGACATTATTTTCAACTTTGAGAAGGCCTACTTCATCCTGGATGAATTCCTGCTGGGCGGGGAGGCCCAGGAGACGTCCAAGAAGAACGTTCTGAAGGCCATCGAGCAGGCTGACCTACTGCAGGAGGTAAGACCCGCACCATTGAAGCCATAATTATTCTTTTTTTTTCACTTTAGTTGGAAATCTGCCTATCTAGTAGTCACATGTAGTTAAAACATATGTAATTTTTCATGTCTGTGAATAAAAATCATATTTTACATTATTATGCCATTATTTTATTGATCTTTAACAAGGTGCTACATTTGGTTGTCAGTGGTTACGGTATAGATTTTTATCTTATTTTGTCTTAGAAAAATTGATAATGATAATAAAAAAGTAGGTCTTGAACCTGAATAAGGTTGTATTTATTGCTCTTTCCTTAGATTTTAAGATAAACGTTGAATGTTTGTTATTAAATAGGATTAAAAGTCAGATCTAAAACCTTATAGAAGTAAAAAAAATAAAAATAAATTGAAAGGTTTTCAGAAAGGAATAAATGTCTAGTAAGCAAGTAGAAGTGCTTGCAGATAGTAGATAACCCATTGCAAAAAAAAAACAACAAAAATGTTGGTTTGTGGGGCTCCTCAGTGGAACAGTGCGTAGCACTGCTGCCTTGTAGCAAGAAGGTTTCAGGTTTGATTCCAGGCCTGGTGTCTTTCTGCATGGCAGACACGGGCAATGTGGAGTCAACAAGTCATCTCCATGTCATGTATTTGTTCTACCCAGCCACTGAAGCAGGTGAGTCCATTCTTCACTGTGAATTAACCTGAGCAGATTGGACTCACCTGGTTAATTGGCTGGGTAGATTAAATACATGACATGGAGATGACTTGTTGACTCCACATTGCCCATGTCTGCTGCATGGAGTTTGCATGTTCTCCCTGAGCATACGTGGACTCTCTCCGGGTACTCCTGCTTCCTCCCACAGTCCAAAAACATGACTGTTAGATTAATTGGCTTCGCTAAAGTCTCCTTAGATGTGAGTATGTTTGTGTGTGAATGGTTGTTTGTCCTGTTTGTCTTTGTGTTGCCCTGCGATGCACTGGCGACCCGTCCAGGCTATGCCCGTCTCTCGACTTGAGCAGGAAAAAGTGTGACAGAAAATTGATGGATGGATGGATGATTATACTGGTCAACAAGTGAGAGTTGTTTAAAAAAACAATTTTATCTGCTTTTAACTCAAGTTCTAATAGTTGGCAGTCTGTTCTGCAGTATGCAAAATTAAATAAATATGTTGCTGCCGTAGTAGCCTATGGTCCTCCAGAAATGTACAGCATCATTTGGTTGTACTAAGCCATGGATCTATTGGCACATCAGCTTTGATGACTTTCTACAGCTTCATTGTTTAAACAGATCAGGACTTCTATATGTCACAAGATTGGCACATAGAGAGAGACAATGGTTATTTGATTGTTCCAGTTCCTGGGGGTCGTTATCCTGCATCTTTTAGATGTGCCTTTGGTTCAACACACCTGAATCAAGTACTCAGATAAGTGGGAGGACTCTGCAGGAACCGACTGCATACTGAGGAGGTAACTCAGCCATTTGATTCAGGTGTGTTGGACCAATGATGGATATTAAAGTTGCAGGATTCCGGCCCCCAGGAACTGGAATTGCCCACCCCTGTCCTAGATTGTCCATTCCTTGATTGCTATCTAATAGGGGTGTGCATTGGCACTGCCCTCACGATTCGATTCGATTATGATTCACCAGGTAACGATTCGATTGAATTCGATTCTATGATGCATTGCGATGCATCAAAATCCCATTGACTTCGTAAAATCCGAAATGTGTCCAGATATCCGCTTTCCAAGCTTTTGGTGCGTTTTTAATTAGGCCTACCCGTCTATCGCGGTCATCTCCCTCAGCCTCAGCCATCTTGATTGTTGTTGGTATGCCCCCGGAAGTAATTGAAACTTCACAACTTGTCCATTTGAGGCCAGAAAATAAACAGTGACATAATCGATTATGGCACATTGCCGCATCAATGCTGAATCGTGCATGCCCCGCATTGCAATGCATCGCTGAAACGATTATTGTTGACACCCCTACTATCTAATGCTTTCTGCTCCTCAGCTCCTTTCACAGGTTGCAGCTGGAAGTTTAACTTCTTCCATAGAAGTTAGTCTAAGGACAGAGATGACCATGCTTGATTTATATCCAATGGCAGAAGCTGTCAGTAAAATGTATGCATAGGTGTTTAAATAGGTATATGTAAGTCAATAAACGTGAATACATTAGAATGTGGATGTTTTCCATGTTAACTCATACAAACATGTGAAATCAGATGTTTCATCTGTGAGAATACAAGTTTCGAAGTTACAGCTTAGCAACAAAGCAAATATAAATCCCACATTTCTTTCTTACTGTAAAAACACAATTACAAATCACAAATTTATGATTATGAATCAAAAATATAAAAGTAGAGATCCATAACGTCTGATGAAGATGTTACTCTCCTTACCGGAGGGTGGCAGCATTATGCCTGAAGGTTGCTCACCAACTGGTATTAAACAAGAAGAAGATGGAGGAGTTCTCAATATGCGATCTTGAGCGTTCTTTTGTGCTCGTGACACGTCATCAGTCTCAGCCCGAGTACTGTTCCAATTGCCGAGAACGCCAGACCGAGAAAGCATTAAATCCCCGGATGTTGTTCTCGCCCCTCCCTATCTACCCAGCATGCATCAGAGCAGACTTGTCCGTTCTTGAGATTGACAGCTGTCCCAGCATGCACTGCAGCAGCATCAGCAGCTTTCAATGGAGCGCTCCATTGAAAGTTATAAGTTCTCTATTCTGTTGCTGTTGTTCAATAAAAGTTTCTTTTAAGATCTTTTTTTATCATAATATTGTACTTTAAAGCGTCACTATATGGTCCATTTACTGATTTAATGCATAATAAAAAAAAAAAATTCCGAAGTTGAGAGGACCGCGGCAACCAGCGGACCTCCGACGCTAACCGCAGCCCGTCTGCAGCAGCCCTCTCTCGGCATAGCCGTGTGTGAAGAACCGCTGGCTCTGATGGCGATATGTTTGTTTTATTTGGCAACATTTTCATTTGATTTGTGTTTATATGACTCTGTTAATTATTATTCCCCCACTAAATTAAAAAAGTAATAATTTATTATTATCTAGAGACTATTAATACCAGAAAGTGAAATGCAGCTCTAGACGAGCTGAGCGTGTGGTGATGTCACGAGTATGCGTCTGTTCCAATTGATCCATATTTATGCTACGTGCTCCCGTTCTCCTTAAGTCCAGACTTTCCTGTTTTCTTCTCAAGAACATACTTGGTGAAGACACAAGTCTGTACTCACGTTCTGGTGAATTGAGAAACGGCGCCTGTATCCCAAACTGGGTCCATAAGCACTAACCCTTTAGTAGTGTCCCTCCCAGTGAAGTCTCACTCGCAGCTGTGGAAGGCGCCTTGATTGAAGGTGCAGGGGTACAAACGAGAATGAGACGGCTTCTTCCCTTCAACGGAAAAGGAAAGAAGTCGTTGCTATGCCAACACAGGGATGCCCCATGTTGCTCTGTGGTGTAGGTTGGCATAAAATTAAACATTTACCCCTTTCTTAAAACAAATATATAAAGTCAGATAAAACTATTTCCCAAAGGACTTCCCTGTTAAAATTTATTATGTTTTTTTTCATATACCTAACTTGTGATTTTTTGTCAGTATGACGAAGATGCAGCAAACCGGTAGAACTTACATTTAAATGCGTTTTCTCCGTCATCAAGCCACTTACACCTGCTACCAAATTCCAGCATGCCTGCACTGATGCAGACTCGCTATTTAAGGGCTGGACGGTCCACTCGCCCTACACACTGCGGGGTTTGGGGCGGCACTTAATGTGGCACACTCTCCGCGGGAAAGTGCAAACGGAGGGTTAGCGCTCAGGGTTAGTGTTTAGGGGCCAGTTTGGGGGATTGGGTCAAACACATTTTTGGCACTTTGCCACGACCAACAGCTTAGGAGTGTATCGAAGAAATATCTGACTCGTGCAAAGTTGTAACTTCTAAACTTGTATTCTCGTGTATGAAACATCTGATTTCACGATGGGTATGAGTTGAAAGCGAGTTACAAATACAAATCACTGACCTAAATTTAAAAAAGTAGACACTTTTGTATACATTTTACTGGATATTTGTAATCACTTTCTTATTGGAAAGCCTCATATATGGCCCATAAATATGCTATTGCAAATATCCTTTCTTTTTTTAAGAGTTTACAGTTTT